ATCCTGTATAGGGTTTCCAAGAGCAGCTGGTGAGTTTGAACTGCTGACCTTGCAGTCAAACTGACCTTGAGGTCGAGTGCTTCTCCTACAGAGCTGGAGTCTTGGTGTGGCGCTGCAGGATAATGCGCTGGACTGCAAGGTTGGTTTGAATATATATGTTTGTATATGTTGTTGTTAAGTGCCGTCGAGTCTGTTCCAACCCCTAGCGACCCTGTATAGTATAGGGTTTCCAAGGAGTATCTGATGCGTTTGAATCCTCGACCTCATAGTTCACAGTCTAGTGCTGATTCTACAGTGCCACACTAGGAGTCCATGTTTGTGTATGTATGTATATATACGTGTAAATATATGGTGGTGGTGTTGGTTATGTGCTGTGGAGTTGGTTCTGACTCATAGCCACCTTGTATAGGGTTTCTGAGGCTGTCAATTTTTAGAAGAGTAGAAAGTCTCATCTGTTTCCCACAGAACAGCTGGTAGTTTCGAACTGCTGAACTTGGGATTAGCAGCCTGAATCATAATCAACTACACTACCAGAGCTCCACACACACACACACACACATATCTATGTTTGTGTTTATATACACACATGCACACATATATTTGAAATCAGAAAGTGGGACATTCTGCAGAGCAGCTGGTATGTTCTCTTTCAAATGTCAGTGTGATATTTTCTACAAGATCCATGCTTATGTAATAAAAAAGTAATTAAAATTCAATCCTTCAAAATTCTTAGCTGTATTATGTTACACAAAATATTTTTTCCTTGGAAAAAAATGAACAAAATTATGATTTGCCTATGGTTCATCCTGGGAATCAGAACTCTTCTTATTATCTGAGATTTTGTCACTATATACAATGTGAATTTTAAAAAAATTAAGATATTAATTTGTATTCCCAAACTCTTATATGATGTTCTAGATAGAAAAATGATTGAGACAAGCTCTCTGAATTGTTATGAGAAGACTTTAGTTTATATTTTCAAACTTTAGTTTTCTATGTATTTTCCTTTTCCTATTGAAAATTTTAAATGAATATGCAAAATAGATAGGTAAAAACCTGTTAATAATTAACTTTTCTATTGTTTATAAAACTATTAATATTTATTAATTTTTTTAGCATGATATTTTTAAGAACAAAATGTGTAGCATTTAGCTTTTATGCTTTAGTTTATTATAATAGGATGCTAGTAGAATTATTTGGTACAGGCTATCATATCTAACATTGAATTTTTTTTTTCTTTTAAATTACAGGCTGATTGTTTGATTGAAAAACTAAGAACATGAAAATGTCAACAGTGGAAAGTTTTCCTAATTTTGGCTTAATGTAAACTAATATTTTGGTTCCTTTGAGGTCTAATTGCAACTTCCAGGTTTATTGCCTTTTATGAGAGGCTTTTACTGAGTAGCTTAAGTTCTTTCTGAATGTGTGTTTCCTGAGCTCAGTGATATAATTTACATAAATGCTTTGTCATTGACCTTTTTGTTTTAATGGTTACTTATCTATGGAGTCCTGGCACACTAGGTTAATGGTGCTGTGGGTTAATGCGCCAGACTGCAAAGCTGTTTGAACTGCAAGGTTGGCAGTTCAAGCTCACCA